AGGACCCCGACACCACTGATGTCTCTTTTGTCGCATGTTCCGAGAAACAGTTTTTCTCCAGTGTCAAAAACGGCATGATGTGATTTATGGGAGAGAACCATGGGAACAAGGGTGATTAGAGGCCACCCTAAAAGCATCTATCCCTCTCGGAAAGCCTGGCAAGCTACCGAGAATATCCCGCCCGCATGGCAGAGCCTGGCAAGCTATCTGTGGTGTATTCGATATGCCAAAACCAGTAAATACAATGGGTCTCATTCCCCTCACCCTAAAAGAGCCACCAATATGGCAGCATTAAGAAGGATGAGGAAGGAGAGGCTGATCAAATCTCAAGGCCGAACTAGGCTGCCAAAATGAAGATGGACAAAAATAAGTGTCTGTACTATCAATGCACATACACTGGCATTGGATGCATCCATCAAGGACCTGATAGTACAAGCGTGAAAGATCAAGTACGACGTCATTGGTCTGACCGAGACGAGAAGGCATCTAAATTATTAGCAACTCAAATTCTATGAATTATTGTTGAGAAACGAAGTCCTTATTTCCTTTGTTTCTGTAGGATGCGTTTACACCCATCCTCTGTCAGTGCATTCATGTGTCTCCTTTGTCAATGAAATATGTAAACTGTCATGTTAAGAGCCCAGGCAAGACATGCCTGTCAGGCCACAAGATGCATTGTAAAGGATGATAACTAATCAGCGGATAGGTACGTAAAGCACAGGGTACAGAATTCAGAGCCCAGCAGCAGACTGAAAATCGGGGGTTGGCATGTAGTGAAGGCAGCTTCAGCCCCAGAGGAAAGGACTTGAGTTCCTGTCTAACTGTTTGTGTACACACTGTGCCCACAGCCCCACAGAGACTCTTGGGTGGTTTCTGTGGAGTCAGGGAGGTGTAATAAGAGGCCTGAGACCTGCCTGTGGGTCAGGCTCAGTCTCTAGCTAGAGGCCTGTTGCAGGTTTCCTCGTTGGTGGTAACAGCCGACGTGCTGTCTGTGCACCTCTAAAGACCCCAGAGAGCGTGCAGGCACATAGCACACATGCAGACGTGGGTCAGAAAGGGAACATGGCATCAGGAAGGCCCCAGACGGAGGACAGGATGGAAGCTGCGTCAGGAACAGACGTTCCTCTGAGGTGACTCCTCCTCCTCTCACCTGCCCAGGCCTTGACTGTCCGGAGGCCTCATTCATTGTTTCCTTGCCCCTTGCCTCAGTTCTCCCTTGAGGTTTTCTTTTATTTTACAAACAGAAATAAAAATTAAGAGCTACTTATCATGAAAACAAGCTTGCAGTTCTTACTCTAGGTTTTTAAGTGTTTCGTATTACATGTTTTTCAGCTACATTTCCTGTAATTATTATATATGTATTTCAGTTTTAAGCAACTAACATATTTCTAAATCATTTCTTTTCAGTAAGCCAAATTGCTTGCTTTCACCAGACGTAATGTGTAGGACAACTTTTAATAACCCCGGGTCTGTATTGGTTAATCTATTATTTTGGCATCCTATGGAAACGCTAATTGGAAGCAGTAAATGTCCATTATATTAACTAACCTAATAATACAGGAATATGTGAGCCATTCCATAATCACTGTTATAAGCTAAGTATAACTCAAAGATACGCCATACGAAGCGTATACAAAGGTAATTTTTTAAAATGCCTGTTTTATCAAAGTCACAACCATTTGGAAAGACCCTGGGCTTCAGCTGGGAGCTCACCTGAGCTTCCTTTATGTTGCTCTCATGGGAAGTTCTTCTCTGGGGATTCTCTGGTCACCACTGAGTTCAGTGTATGGCCATTTCTGGCTGTTCTGTCTTGGGTAGAGAAAGAGAACAGTCCAGCATTCACCTTTTAATAAACTTTCTCATGGTTTGAGAAAATCACTGTCACGTGTTATTTTTCTTCAGATGAATATGCCATGGGGGTCCCGCACAGCCGTGTGTGCGGGACCCAGGGCTGAGATCTCCAAGCCTGCTCGGATCGGGACTGGGCCTCCTCCACCCAGATCCCCCATCTTCCAGTAGCTAGACAGTTACACCCACCAGCTGCCCCCCAGCGCTGTGTAATCCCATCAACGGCCAAGATCTAGAGATTATCAGACCAAGCTCCCAGAAGAGAACAATACAGAATCTCCTGCCCCCATACCTGGCTGTCCTCATCGGGGCCCCATGGAGGGGAGAAGGTTGAGTTTCCCTCCCCACCCCGAGCAGAGCCCCGGCAGCTGAAGACCTCCGGAACCCAGCCACAGCCATGCTTAAGACCACTCTCCACATGCTCAGACGAGCCTCAGACATGAAGGAATTAGCGGAGGAACTCGGGTGTGTGGGACCTGGGGCTGAGATCTCCAAGCCTGCTGGATCGGGACTGGGCCTCCTCCACCCAGATTCCCCATCTTCCAGTAGCTGGGCAGTCACATCCACCAACTGCCCCTGGCGCTGTGTAATCCCATCAATGGTCAAGATCCAGAGACTATAAAACCAGGCACCCGGACCTCTTATTGTCTCGTTCTCACTCTCAGAGAACCTGGCAGGCTACCAAGAGTATCCTGCCCACCCAGCAGAGTCTGGCAAGCTCCCCGTAGTGTATTCAGTATGCCAAAACCCAGTAACGGTGATGGGTCTCATTCCCCTAACCCTTAAAGAGCCTCCAATGTGGCACTTACTAAACTCTCAGGGCTAGGACAAATGGAGACATTACTGGTGCCTCCTCGAGGAAATCGATGAACAAGGGGATGACAGTGAGACGGTGATACAGTGAATATGCCATGTCCTTACTCTTCTTGCAATTATCTCTCATTCTTGGCCTTGAGTCGTTCATCTCTCCATCCCGAGAAAGGGTGACATACGGGACTGTTCACGCCGGCGATGGGAACTCAACCAAATATCCTACTCCAGCTCCTTCAGGTGTTCACAGAGCCCAGCAGAGTCACAGACCTCAGTGACAATGACTGATTTCTAAGCTCTTTATAAACAAGCAAGGTGGAATGGCTCTTGGTCATCTTAGAGGTCATTCATGTCTGAAATCGTTACGGCTGCACGACATGTATTCAGGCATTCTAAGCTACTGGCTTTTGCCCCTTTGGGTTTCAGTTTCTGCACCACGAGTTCCACACCAGGGACAGTCGCGTTTCCCATGCCACGGCCATTGCCATGTGTCTCCCCCCTCCCCCCACCCAGGGATTCGGGCTTCTCTGCCATCCTCCGTCCACCTCAGCACTATAGGTCAGCTTACAAGGTCGATACTACTGGCCATTTTTTTAAAGTAATCCATAGATTATATTATAATGTATCGATTCCAATTCCTTAATTGTGGTCTTTGTGCCGTATTACATTAGGTGATAGTAGGGAAGCAGGCTGTGTGGTAACGGCGGACTCTTTCCTCAGTTTCTCTCTAAACATTGACAGTAAAATCCACAGTGATGGTAGTCAGGCATTGCAGCAGCAAAGACGTAAATCATGCATTTTTTTCCTCTCAGTTTCTATTGAGGCATCCTGGTATGCGATACTGTGAGTGACAGTGTGTCACATGCACACCATCCAACGTCACCCCCTCCTCCAGTGTCCCCTGCCCCTCACCCCCTCCTGCCTCCTTGGTAGGCTCAGTTCTCTAGCCCACACCTCAGCTGTTGGTCATTCTCAAGCTCTGTTTCTTCATAGCCACACAGGGGTGACTCCCCCTGCCCGACACGGGTGACTCCCCAGCCCGACACAGGGGTGACTCCCCAGCTCAACAGCCTGTGTCTCCATTCTTGGGGCAGCAAATTGCGTGATTTCGTCTTTTCTTACAACACAGTAGGACTTTACTGTATTTATTGTAAGTAAGACTTTACTGTGTTTATTGACCCATTTTTCACCCATTCAGCTGTTCTTAGTCCAAATGAATTTCCTCTGTAGAGAAATACAGATATATAATATATATTCCACAGGCGTTGCACTCACTAGCATATATTCTTATGCACAGAATTGCGTTCTAGCTTATTGTGTTTAAGACATGGCAGGGTTCTGCCAGCTCTCCCCCTTCCCATGGTTGGTCGGAGCTGTGCCCCGTATTCATAGTAGAGATTGTGCCTGAAGAAGGTTCCTGAGAGAGTGCCTCACTCTGCTTGGAGACATCTTTGGGCTTTGAGGTATAGTGAGTCCAGATCAAAGAGAAGAGCTGCTAGAACATACCCGACTTTAATGCTTCCCACATCGAATAGATAACTGAACAGTCATGTTAAAACCTGCCTTCATGGGGCTGGAGCAGTAGTACAGCGGGTAGGGAATTTGCCTTGCACATGACTGACCCGGGTTCGATTCCCAGCATCCCATATAGTCCCCTGAACACCGCCAGGAGTAATTCCTGAGTGCATGAGCTAGGAGTAACCCTGTGCATCGCCAGGTGTGACCCAAAAAGCAAACAAACAAAAAAAAACCTGCCTTCATGCCATATATGATTCATTGTGGCTAGCAATTCTCATCTGGTAGATCTTTCAGACGTGATTGAGTTGCTTCAAAACAGTTGCTTAATTAAAGAAAACATTTATTTCTAAGTTCGTTTCAGGGCTTTACTCTCCCTCCACCCTGAATTAAGTGGAAGGGAACTAGATAGCCAGATGTGGCCAGATATTTGTGTGTGTGGCGTGTGCCACAAGGAACGTTTCCATGGTGAGTCTGAGCCTGTAATTTTGAGCAGGTCAGCTGCCTCAGGAGGGGAGTGATGCAGCCACCAGAGAAGGAAGCAGTGGGGAAAGAAAGGCTTGGAAAGAAGCAGCAAAGAGGAATGGGATCACGCCGGGCCATCCTGGGTCAGCCTGCGTTGTGTGGGCTGAGGACAGGCTTGGCCAGGGCCAGCACACGTCGTCCACTTCTCTCCAGGCCGCGCTGGCCTGGCTTCTGAGTGTCGGGGGTAGGAGTGCCTCCTCGCGACCCCACGTGGCTCCTACCCTCCCTCCCTCCCTCCCTCCCTCCATGGCTGGTGTCCTGCCGTGTCCCGGGAGTGTGACGCGTGTGCTTTCTCCTTGCAGAGCCTGTGTGTGTTCACGCCACCCGGAGCCAAGGAGGGGAAGCCGCGCCTCATCCCTGCGGGGCCCATCACTCAGGGCACAACCATCTCCGCCTACGTGGCCAAGTCCAGGAAGACCCTCCTGGTGGACGACATTCTTGGGGTGAGGGCCCTGTGGCTTCCGCGATGAGGGGCCCGAGGGCTGGAGCAAGGAGGAAGCCGAGTCATTTCACTCTGACGGTGACGCGTGTACCAGAGCAGAGGCACCGGGCAAGAGGGAGCTTAGCAGACACGTCTGCGTGTGACTCACTCCCTGCACCCGGGGGTCAGGTCTGCGCCCCGGGGAGCCGGATTTGAACAGTTCTTAGGTCGCGTCCGCTAGTAGAGTGAGGCGGAAAGGGTCTGTTTACATCCTGACAAGCAAAGTAACTTAGTTTTCATGCACATGAAAGAGAAACTTTGTTTTTCACGTGCATGACTGTACATGGGCGAGTGGCATGTGGGCATATGTCTGAATGAGTGAGCTGTTGCTACGTGACGCACCGCCCCACAGTTGGTGGTGTCCTATAGTGACCCCATGTGGCGTCCCCAAGCCTCTTGGGACAGAAGTCTCACGGAGCTCATGGTGACTGCTTCCGCGCCTGCCATGGGCTGCCCCCTATGGGCTGGCTGCGCCCCCCACCCCCCCGCCTGTACACCTGGACCCGAACCCCGCGCCCCGCTCTGGCCCACTGGGCAGTGCTGCAGGCTCTCCCGTGGGAGCCGAGACTTGGCAAAGGGAACAGAGCACACAGTTGAGATCGTCTTGGGTCTGCTCTGGCAGGAGCCACAGTGGACAGAACAGGCCCGGGTGGGCGGGCCTGGACATGGGACTGGAGGGAACGTGAGGGATGGGCCTCGAGTATTCGTGAGCTAGCAGTCACGTGACACTGCCTGAGCTTTCAAAGGGACAGCTGGACACGCACGCAGAGATGCCCTGGGAAGGTGCTAATTTGAGTCATGACATCTGGGCTTTAGTTCTTAGTTTGACTTTTATTAATTATTAATTATCTGTACAATTCTGAACAGATCAGGGGACTGATTATCAAAAAAAGGTGTAAAGGTAAATGTACGATGCAGTGGACAGTCCATGGTATTGTCCTGTGGTCATGGCGCTTGCTGAGGAATGAGGTCTCAGACACCCCTGGGAGGTTCTGGAGCATGCCGGGGGCTGCCCGATGCTGGGACGGCCTCCCCCCATGCGGAAAGGCGCAGACTTACACTCCGGCACATGGCAGCTGAATTTAGAGTTAAGACAGTAAACATTTCATATTGACACTGTAAGTTCTCATTCAAAAATAATTATCACGTAGTCAGGCTTTTAAAGGATGTCTAGGGACTGGAGTGATAGCACAGCGGGTAGGGCGTTTGCCTTGCATGCGGCCGACCCGGGTTCCATTCCCAGCATCCCATATGGTCCCCCGAGCACTGCCAGGAATAATTCCTGAGTGCATGAGCCAGGAGTAACCCCTGTGCATCGCTGGGTGTGACGCAAAAAAGCAAAAAAAAAATAAATAAATAAATAAAGGATGTCTAAAAGACAAATATCGGTTTGTATTATTCTCTGTACTATTCTCATGAGTAGGATTGATTGTCTTGGATAGTAAAGGATGGCATGAGGAGAATTGGCATCTTAATATTATGTCAGTTTTCTTGTACTCTTTTGGGTGAATTTGCAGACCTAAGTAGTTCTTAAAGCCCCAGAACTCATTTCACTTTCTGTACTAGGTAGATGGTGATTCTTTTTTTTTGCTTTTTGGGTCACACCCGGCGATGCACAGGGGTTACTCCTGGCCCTGCACTCAGGAATTACTCCTGGCGGTGCTCAGGGGACCATATGGGATGCTGGGAATCAAACCCAGGTCGGCCGCGTGCAAGGCAAATGCCCTACCCGCTGTGCTATTGCTCCAGCCCTGATAGATGGTGATTCTTGGGTGGCTTGAATACCTCTGGACCTGTGTAGGTCAGTTAGAATTATTATCATTAGCATTTACTTTTATGCTAGTCTTACCGAAGGATAACGTTTTTTAGTATTTGAAAATATCATTTTACCTAAAATTATCATTTTTTATCATTTCTTTATTTTGGTCTGGGGGCCCACGTGGCCGTACTCACGTCACTCCCGCCGGGTGCTCGGCCCGGCCCCCAGTGCCAGTCCTGCATTCAAGCCCTAGGACTCTCCTTCTGCTCCCTAGAGAGAAACATCCCGTGTACCACTTCTTCCGGTACTCACCCCTGCAGTGCTCCTTCTCTAGTGATATGAGCCCAGTGGAGCTCATGGATGGAGCATTATGGTTCTTAGAAGGTGCCGGCTAAAGAGGCGTGGCATCCTCCTTGCTTCTGGTGCCACCTGAGGTGCACGTGGCCCTGGTGAGCTGAGTCAGGACATAGGATCCGCCTTAGAGGCTGAGGACTTTCACCAGGTGTCCGGGGCCCGGCCTGCCGTGGCCTTCCTCGGGCAGGCGACTCAGCGCGGTCTGAGACATGCGTGTGTGTGCTGTCCCCTCTGTTGTGCAGGATGAACGGTTCCCGAGAGGCACGGGGCTGGAGTCAGGGACTCGCATCCAGTCGGTTCTCTGCTTGCCCATCGTCACCGCCATCGGGGACCTGATCGGGATCCTGGAGCTGTACCGGCACTGGGGCAAGGAGGCCTTCTGCCTCAGCCACCAGGAGGTGAGCGCATCTGGCTGCGGGGGGCTCCACACGCCCACCCCCCAGCCCCCCAGTATGATCTGACTACTGCTGAAGTCGCAGACACTTGCCGTCTAGAGAGGAAACGGAATACAGTAGAAAGGCACCTTTTCTTTTACCTTCTTTTTGCAAAACTTTCCTGTTTGAGTTTCAGTTCATACAATGACCAAACACCCGTCCCTCCACCAGTGCACATTCTCCACCACCAGTGTTCCCAGTAGCCCCTCCACCAATCCCACCCATCCCCCTGCCTCTACGGCAGACAAATTTCCCCCATACTCTTCCTCTACTTTTGGGCATTATGGTCTGCAGTACAGACACTGAGAAGCAATCACATTTAGTCCTTTATCTATTTTCATCACACATCGCCCATCCTGACCGATCCCTCCAACCATCATGGACTTCGTGATCCCTTCTCTATCCCAGCTGCCTTCTCCCCCAGCTCATGAGACAGGCTTCCAACTATGGAGAAAACTTCCTGGCCCTTGTCTCTACTGTCCTTGGGTGTCAGTCTCATGTTATTTTATATTCCACAAATGAGTGCAGTCCTTCTATGTCTGACCCTCTCTTTCTGACTCATTTCACTTAGCATGACACTCTCCATGTCCATCCATTTACAAGCGCATTTCATGACTTTCATCTTTCCTAACAACTACGTAGTATTCCATTGTATAGGTGTACCAAAATTTCTTTTACCAGTCATCTGTTCTCAGGCACTCAAGTCGTTTCCAGATTCTGGCTGTTGTGAACAGTGTAGCAATCAACATTCAAGTGCAAATGTCATTTCTACTATACTTTTTTGCATCTCCAGAATATATTCCCAGGATTGGTATTGCTGGGTCAAATGGGAGCTTAGTTTCTAATTTTTTGAGAAGTGTCTATACTGTTTTCCAAAAGGGCTGAACCAGTTGGCATTCCCACCAACAGTGAAGGAGGGTCCCTTTCTCCCCACATCTGCACCAACACCGGTTGCTTTTGTTCTTTTGGATGTGAGGCACCTTTTCTTTTTAGTGGGAATTCATGTCAGTGGTAAAAGTCAAGTGGACGTGTGGCAAATCAAATGGGATGACTGGACAAGCACACCTTCTGTGTCTAAAAGTGTCTCCAACTATCTCTGTGTGCTGAAAAAGATAAAGGAACAAACATGATAACCCCTCAGTATTGGTGCTGCAAGCCATAATGCCCCAAAATGGGAGGAGGGGCAGGGAGGGAGGGAAAGAGAGAAGGAAGGAGGGAGGGAGAGAGGGAGGGAGGGAGGGAGAGTCAGAAGGAAAGTGCCTGCCATAGGCTGTGGGGGGCTTTGGGTGGAGGGGCGGGACTTGGGAGCTGGTGGTGGAAATGTGCCCTGGGGGAGGGCTGGGTGCTGGCTACCTGTGGGCTCCCCCTGTGGGGCCCTGCCCGGGGGCCCGGCCCTCTGAATCAGACCCCAAGGTGGGCCCAGAGCACCAGGACTTCCTCACCGGGACAGTCTCACCTGCCCCTGCCCCGCTGGACATGGCTCCGCGGCTCCCTCTGCTTGGGCTGGCCTGTGCTGTCCTCCCCCAGCAGTGCTCCAGATGTGCCCCAAGCCCTGGAATGCGGCCCCCCAGGCCTCTCTCAGACACCAGATAGACACATCCCTGAGCACCAGAGACCGAGTCCCCCTGAGCACCACAGGGTTGTGAGCTGCTCTCTCCACTTTTCTCTTGTGCAGCCGTGCTCTCCTTGGGAGCTCGTCCCCCCGCCCCCTGTTCTTCCTGGGAGCTCCCCCCGCCCCGCCCCCCTGCTTTCTCCCTGCCGTGTGCTGTGAGGCTCCTGGTTCCCCTGCGCTCAGCTCAGGACCTGGTGCCTGTGACGGACCCAGGGGATGTCAGTGCTATTTGGGAAAAGTTCAACATTTTAAAGAGGTCACTCTGGCCTTTTTTTGTTTTGTTTTGTTTTTTGGGGTCATACCCAGCAATGCACAGGGGTTACTCCTGGCTCTGCACTCGGGAATTACTCCTGACAGTGCTCAGGGGACCATATGGGACGCTGGGAATCGAACCCTGTTGGCTACGTGCAAGGCAAGCGCCCTGCCTGCTGTGCTGGGCTCCAGCCCCCACTCGGGCCCTTCTTAATGATACTTTTGTGACGCTGACGAGACCGATGAGTGCTAAAATCGCTGAACTGCTGCTCCCTTACAATGAACGTATCCGCCTTTTTGTCCAAAATTACACGGCAAAAGAGCATCCGACTCGGGACCGAGACTCGGCAGCGTGAAGGGAACCTTGTGCAAAGCTGCGCCTGGTTGGGCGAGTCTCCGGCTCCCCCGGCCGAGGGCCCCGCTCACGGCTGCTTCTCCTTCCCGCAGGTCGCCACGGCAAACTTGGCCTGGGCCTCGGTGGCCATCCATCAGGTACAGGTGCGTCTCTTCACGTGGGTGGGGCCCGCTTGGGGCTGGGTGCTGCGCCTCAGGAGCTTGGTGCTCTGCCTTGTACTAAAACCTTTGCCCGATAGACTGATAACTTCTTGTCGTAAGCATCTTGCAGTTATTTTGATATATTTATATTTAAGTAAATCATTTTTTCAGTAAACGTACGTGTCCTATTACTGTTCTTGTGTTCCTTGGGAAGCCCAGGAACAGTCTCCAGCTGCCTAGCAGTGATGACAGTTTTATGACTTCATTTTCTAGATGAAAATATCCCCTGAGCTACTGGATTATTACAACACTGAGCTTAACTTTACAACACCCGGCTCTCTAGAAAATGTGGTCTCGCGTGAAGCCTTATGAACTGCATGTTTTCCTGAGAGCAGACTCCAAAGTTCAGGACCAAAGAGCAGGAAGGATGTGTTCCTCTGCTCAGCATTTTGGTTTTTTTTTGTTTTCCTAAATTCCATTTTTAGCGGGTTGATAAGGGAGTAATAGGAAGACAGACAGACAGACAGACAGATAGGTATGAGCTGGCTGAAGGGGTGGTGGCTGCTGTTGGCCGGGACAGTGCCAGACCTGGGGCTGTTTGCCCTGGGCGAGATAAGGGACTCAACTGGCTTCCAGCAGTGGCTCTGACCGGAGCCACCACGCCAGCTGCTGTCTGTCTGTCTGTCTGTCTGTCTGTCTGTCTGTCTGTCTGTCAGCTGCTCAGTCTGTTGGGAGGGGAGTGAGCTGCAATGCCTCGGTTACTGTCCGACTCAACTCAGGTTCATTTGGTGGTTAAGTGGGATAAAGTACCTAGGATCATAGTTACCTTATAGCTGAATGATCTGGACGTGTATTGTAAGGCAGAGAAGCTCAGGAGTGATCTAATATTTTAATTATTGCCCACCTAGAAGCTCCTAGGAACCAATAGCCGTTCTTTTGTGTGGCAGGTGTGCAGAGGCCTTGCCAAACAGACCGAACTGAATGACTTCCTACTCGACGTGTCAAAGTAAGTGTTTCGTTCTGGGGATGTGGTTGCCTGTATTGATCGCAGCGCTCTCCAGTAAATGCGGCTTGGGCTCTCCCAGGAACCGCCTGCTCTCGGGCCAGTGATGGAAGGTCACCCTTCACTGCATGGGACCATCAAGCTCACTGGGTCGGAGTAACCATCTCTCCCGGGACTCTGCCGGAGAGGGATTGAAGGCATAGTGTCACGGTCTTCTAAATTCAGATGCTACAAGAGGGACAGAAAGGGTGGAACCAATGATAGCCTTAAGTCATTTCCAGCTTCGTGTTGGTTTCGCTTGTGGTGACCTGGTCTGCATCTCCGATCCATCCACGAATCATCCAGATGCAAAATTGGCCCCGGAAGGTGTAACTTCGGGGTGCTGTCGAGTGACAGATTTGCTTACATACATACTGGGGGCCTCTCCTCCGCGGCCCCGGGCAGTCAGACACTCTGTGCTGTGCTGTCCTGGCGATGTTGATGCCTCATCAGCAAGCCCGGAGTCCACCAGGAAGTCTGAGCAGGGCAGACCGAGGGGTCGGGGTCCCACACGGCTCTGGCCCCCGTCCGACGTCTGTTCGGAGGCAGAATGAAGCAGCGTCTCATGGAGAAGGAGGCAGCACTCCCTCCTGTGCTGACGAGCGTGGGTGCTGTGTGGGGCTTCCCAAGGCCACCGAACCCCCCAGCGGACACACGTCGTCTGTTCCCCAGAGCCAGGCCACTAACTTGACCATTTTTTGGTGGCAGACACCGTGTGGTGCTCAGGGCTTCCTCGGCTCTGCAGCCAAGGGTTGCTTGCTTGGGGGACCGCCTGGGATGCCGGGGAATAAACCGATGTTGGACAAGGGAAATGCCCTCCCTGCTGTACTACCTCTGGCCCCAACTTGACTCTCTTTAGGGCACTAAAGTCCTCAGCTTCCAGGGTAATTAAATCTATCCGGGGTTTAATGCAGTAATTTACCATTTAGATGAGAAACATTCTATACCAGTCTAACTTACCTGAGCACTTTGCTAAATCCACAAACTCCTTAACTGCAACGCCTGCCCGTCTAGCCACAGTGAGTGCCTTTACATGGCCTCTGCCATGGCTTTTGCCGAAGATTCTGGTGTTGGTGCATCTCTCGTTGTTGAGATGCGGGGGAGTGGGGAACAGAGGAGATGAAGAAGGCAGGTAATGTAGACGCACCATCAGCCGCACAGCATTCATTGTTGTGTGTAATCATGAGCAGACATTTGACTCGGGTGGTGATTAGTTTCCTGCCATGACCTATATTCTGGTTTTTCTTCTCAAATGAGTTCAGCTGCTTTCTCAATCCAGTTAAATTGCGGTTTGACCTACAATTTTTATTTTTTACTGATAATGCTTTAAGTGTGTAAATTAAATTTATCATATTGAAATATTGTACTTTTTTTCCCTGATAAATCAAGCATTCTTTATTGTTTCTTTTTCTAATTTATGTGCTATACAAATTACACTTTCTTCTCTAATACCCATCTCTGATACATTCATTTAGAACCTCTTATCTCTTTTTTGGGGGGAGGCTATGGGATATTTTACTTTCTGATCAAGGTTCTTCATGAAAGTAAGATGGTGAATGTGAATTTATTCCTTCAGACTTTTAGTTGAATGCTACAAACTCTTTACATTCAAACTTACCAATAAAATACTTTTAATGTGTATCATGGGATTAAACTCCCTATGCTAAATATAATGGAAAAGTTTCTCTCTGTTAAATAATAACACTGGGCACTGTATTGAGTGAAGCAGTCAGGAAGAAAGGGAGAGGTACAGAATGATCTCTGTCCTATGTGGGCTCAAGGCTACACAGCAGGGGGCAGCAAGGGGCCAAGGGCAGCTTAGCTGGAGATCTGGTGCACAGGATGGAGTTGTGTGTGTGTGTGTGTGTGTGTGTGTGTGTGTGTGTGTAGCATTGAAGGAGGGATGAATGTTGGGGTGCCGGGCAGGGAAGTGGGGAAACTGTGATGGGTGTGGTGTTGGAATTATGTGCATGAGAAACCATCCTTAACAGTATTGCATATCACATGGCCTCAATGAAATCAGGTCTCGGGGCTGGAGAGTTAGTTCCTTACAGGTTTCTTGCCTTGTCGCGGCCCGCTGGATTTCTCCCCAAGAAGTCTGGTTACTTGAGCACCATCAAGAGTAATCCCTGAGGGGCTGGAGTGATAGCACAGTGGGTAGGGCGTTTGCCTTGCACGCGGCCTGACCCGGCTTCGATTCCCAGCATCCCATATGGTCCCCTGAGCATGGCCAGGAGTAATTCCTGAGTGCATGAACCAGGAGTAACCCCTGTACATCGCTGGGTGTCACCCAAAAAGAAAAAAAAAGAGTAATCCCTGAGCACAGAACAAGGAATCAGCTCTGAGCATCACCATGTGAGACCCAAAACTGAAACATAAAATGATTTTATATTTTTGTTATTACTGTTAACACGAGGGGAAAATATTAACTGATATAAAGTAATATGTTTGTTTGTGTTTTGATTTTAATGTACACAAAACTGGGGAATGTGTTCAATGCATAACATATTCTGTGTTCTAACAATATTGGTCATCTTAAATCACAAGCTTTGTGTTCTTTTTCTTTCCAGAACATATTTTGATAACATAGTCGCAATAGATTCTCTACTTGAACACATAATGGTAGGTTGCAATTTTTTTTTAAAAATTCATTTTGTTTAACCTTTGTATGCGTGTCCTAAGAAAGCATCAGGCATGAGAGCTGCTTCAAAGAGGGTGAAGCTGCGATGGTCAGTCTGGGGCAGTGTTTTGAATCATTTGCCACTTGCGTTGGGTTTGGAGAGCTGTTGAGGAACGTCTGGGGAAATGCCTCTGAGTTTCTTCATTATTAGAGGAGAGCTATACTTGGAGAAAACCTTGGGTTTCCTTTCCTCTTGGCCTCATACCTTTGCTCGGAGATTCCACGCAGACCCTGCTGGTTCTCTCAGGTCTCGAGTCATTCCACTTCCATTTTAGTCATTTATTTATTTATGAGCCCGGCAAGCTCCCGAGAGTATCTCGCCCACACGGCAGGGCCTGGCAAGCTCCCCATGACGTATTCGATATGCCAAACACAGTAACAACAAAAGTCTCCAATGGAGATGTTACTGGGCCCGCTCGAGCAAATCGATGATCAACGGGAGGACCTTTACTTTACTTTACTTTTATTTATTTATTTATTATTGAATCACAGTGAGAACAGTTACAAAGCTTTCAGGTTTAAGTCTCGGTCATACAGTGATCAAACAGCCATCCCTTCACCAGTGCACATGTTCCACCACCAAGAACCCCAGTATACCCCCCATCCCACCCCTCCCCTTGCCCTTGTGGCAGATGTATCACTGTCCTCCCATTGTCCATCGATTTTGCTCGAGAGGGCCCAGTAACATTGTGAGACTTGTTGTGACTGTGTTTGGCATATCGAATGTGTCACGGGGAGCTTGCCAGGCTTTGCCCTGTGGTCGAGATACTCTCGGGAGCTTGCCAGGCTCTTCGAGAGGGGTGGAGGGATCGAACTCGGGTCGGCCGTGTCATCTGCGTGCAAGGCAAACGCCCTACCAGCTGTGCTATCGCTCCAGCCCAGTTTCACAGATGATTTCTACTTTACTCTCTCTACTTTGACTACATTCAATTTTTCGACAGAAGACCTACCATTATTACTTGGAATTTCCCCCCAACAATCAGACCTGCCGAAAAGGCATCATTAGATAATTTGTTTTCTATTGCTGATAATGAAGAACATCTGATTTTGGATCTCTGATGTTTTAGCAATTAAGTCCAGAGGGATTTCTGCCTTTCTGCATCTCCTTTAGGAGCTGGTCCAGGCCCTGGAGCCAGAGCCACAGCAAGTGGAGTTTTAGATTCATTGTCCCATTGGCAAGATGAAAGGGATGCAGTGGGCGGCCCGTTTAGCACCATTTGTACCCTGCTGCCTATTTTGACAAATATTCCTCCTCTTTCCTGTCTTCTTCGCAATCTTTCTCAGAATATAGTAACTCAGTGTATGTAGTGAGGGGTCATCTGATACCTTGGTAGGGCCTGGCCTGTTTCTCCTTGGTACCATGGAGGGGGTTATGGCGTGGGACATGCTCCGTCTCTTATTTATATTGTGATGGGGAGTCTAGCACATTCCTTAGCTCATTAGTTATGTGGATGGCTTCATTTAATGGGGAAAGAATAATAGATTCCATGGTGAAAAATAACTGTGCTTGGTAAAATTTAAGGACTTTGTAATAGGGTGAAAGGTACAAAGGAGCTGTGGCTGGAGAGACAGTAGAGTCAGGGCGCTTGCCTTGCCTGACGGTTCCATCCCCAGCTCGCCTCAGGGTCCCCTGAGCCCTGCCAGGAGGGTGCCTGAGCACAGAGCCAGGAGTAATCTCTGCGCACAGCAGAGGGTGACCCCAAACACGAACCCACAGCGGAGGATAAAAGGCAAAGGCCCTCCCGTTGATCATCGATTTGCTCGAGCGGGCCCAGTAACGTCTCCATTGGAGACTTTGTTGTTACTATGTCTGGCTATCAAATACTCTCGGTAGCTTGCCGGACTCTCCAAGAGGGGCAGAGGAATCGAACTCGGGTTGGCCATGTTGGCCGCTTGTAAGGCGAACGCCCTACCGCTGTGCTATTGCTCCAGCCCTGTGCTATTCCTCCAGCGGAGAATATATATTAAATAACTGGCGCAGGGACCAGAGCGATAGGACGGCACGTAAGGTGTTTGCCTTGCACGCGGCCAACCCAGGTTCGATCTCACACACCCCACCGAGCCCCCGAGCCTCCAGGAGTGTCCCTTAGCACAGAGAAAGAGCAAGCCCTGAGCACTGCCGGGTGTGGCCCCCCAACTACTAATAATCATAACTTCAATGAAAAGTAACTGACGTATGTGCTCAGAATGCAGTAAGCACTCAACAAATGGTCCTTGTTTTGTTACGATTCTCTTTTTGAAGCAGCTTTATTGCGATACATACCATGCAATTCAACCTGTCAATGAAGTGCTCAGCCCATTGGGTTGTAGGGCACTGACAGTCGACACACACTGCTGATCATTCTCGACCGCGCTCCTCCCCTCAGAGTGAAACTCCGCTCCCTCAGCCCTTGGCTCCCACTTGCCCTCCCACCAGGTCCAGACCCCCCCCACCCCGGTCTGTTTGCTTTGCCATGGACCTGTGTGCTGGGCGTCTCAGCAGAGGGGCCAGACACGTCTGCCCTCTCGTGCGTGGCTGCTTCTCAGCACGCATCCAGAGTTTCTGTTGTAGCAGCTCTCAAGTCTTTATTCCTTTTCATGGCCAACTGGTGTTACGTGGAAACGGTCACGTGCACCCTATTTTTTAGTACACTGAGCCATTTGGATTATTTTTGTATGTGGCCACTGGTGCTGCTTTGGGTGTTGACGTACAGTTCTTGCATGAATATCTACCTCGGGGACGTGCCAAGAGTGGACTTGCGGGACAGGGCCATTATCTGTGCTAGAGTCTCCAGAGCTGCCCCCCGTCTCCCGTGGCCCCCTCGCCGTCTCACATTCCCACCGGCCACGCATGCAAGTTTATTGCCATAGACTCTCATCTTCTCCTATATCCTCATCAACATGCTGTTCTAGACTTTTTTTTTAAGTAATAGGGCTGGAGCGATAGCACAGTGGGTAGAGCGTTTGCCTTGCATGTGGCTGACACGGTTAACCCAAGTTCTATTCCTCTGCTCCTCTCGGAGAGCCCGGCAAGTTACTGAGAGTATCCTGCCTGCACGGCAGAGCCTGGCAAGCTACCTGTGATGTATTCGATATGCCAAACACAGTAACAAGTCTCACAATGTACTGGGCCTGCTCTAGCAAATTGATGAATAACGGGAGGACAGTGACAGTGACAATAGCATCCATCACCGTGTAGGTATGGAATACCAGCTCAGTGGGTTTTTAAGTGGCATTTTCCTACTTACTAATTGTATTCAAAAGCCATTTGTGTCCTGTTGGCCACTTGTTTATCTTCTGTGCTGAAGTATCTGTTGAAATGTGTGAGTTTTCTTGCTCATTCCATTTGTATTGATCATTAACTTTGTAAGATTTTTTTCTTACAGTCTAAAGACAACTCCTAGGCTAGATACAGTAAGATTGACAAATATTTTTTCCTGTATATAGGTCACCATAAACCTTCTTCAGAGTTTTTTTTTTTTTGTGGGGTCTTTTTGGTAGCACAATCCAAGTGAGTTCTAGGAAAGTCCAATTCATAGACTTTTTTATTGCCCATGTTTTTGATGTCATTTCTAAGACTTCCATGCCAGTTAGAAGATTATGGAAATTTACTACAGTATTTTCTTCTATAAGTTTGACAGCTTTGATTTTCACTGGTTTATTTTTTTTTTACCTCAGTTGAGCTGATTTTTGTTAAAGAAATAGGCCTGCTTTATTCCTTTGCCTATTTCTACTGCATCCTTTAATGTCAAAAGTCAGTTGAGCATTATTTCTGGACTCTCAATTCTATTTCTTTCATCTCTGATTTATCATTACCATATCAGTACCATACTTTACTGTCTTCGCTGGTATTTTGTAGAAAGTTTTGAAATTAGGAGGTGTAAATCTTTCAAATTTGTTCTTTCTTTACCATATTTTTGGTTGTTTGGGATCTTTTGCAATTCCAGTGGGTTTTAAAAATTGGATTGTCAATTTCTACAAAGAATTTGAGTGAAATACTGACAGGGATTATGTTAAATCTGTAAATCAGTATGGAGGATATTGACATCTGAATACTATCAAATGTTTTAATACATCAGTATGAAGTATTTTCAAGTTTTCATAATTTAAAGATAATTGAACTTCTCATTTGGTAAAACTATGAGTATTTTATATGGTATCATAAGTGCATTTTAAAATTGTATTTTGAGATTTTTAAAGTTTGAATATATAGAAAAAATGTTGGTGTGCTTTGATTTTCTGCCCTGTAACTTTGATGAACTCCTCTATGTTTTCTCTGTGTGCAGGGTCACGGCATATATGGTCAGCGGTGGTTTTATTTTCTGTACTTTGTGGCATTATTTTTTGTACTTTGCATAATTACCCAATGAGAGCCTCAGTGCAGTGTGAGAGAGATTGCCGGTGTGGGCATCCTTGTGTCTTGTTCCATACCTTTTAGCAGAAGCACCTGCCTTGGCCACCGAGTTTGAAGTCGGGTTTTTATAAACCGCCCTTAGTAAGTCTTCAAGGTAGTTTTTAACCTGGGACGCATCTTCTCCTGAGTCATCAGGGCCCAGGTTCCTCTTGCTCAGATTTTGTGATGGCTGTTTTTCTCGGAGAATGAATTCTTCCTTCCTGAGGAGTAATTTCCTATCTGCCCTCTGATTGGGTGAGGTTGTCACTGACCTGGACAGACTGAATATGATGTTCACGAGAAAACTGTCGCCCAGCCCACGGGGTAATGCTCTGTATCAACAGAAAATAAGTCTGTGCCGAAGAAAGTTGGTGAACAAAAACCCAGAGCAGTGACGTTAAGATGTGGTGCCCTTTCCCGAGTGGAGGGACTCATTTCCTGCAGGGCGTGGTCTGAGGGGCAGCCGCGCCTCCGTTTATCAGCCATCTGAGGGGAGAGAGAGGCTCACATATCGGGGCCTTAGTTTTCCTTTGATGTAAATTATAGATACAAATTCTCCTCCTCTAGCATTGCTCTTGTGAGACGATAACGGATACTTAGACAGTACAAGAAGGTGCGTGACACAGAGTGGTCAGTGCTGGCTGTCCTCGTCATTGGACAGTGCAAGGAACAAATCGCAGCCGCATGCCACTGAGTGCGGGGTGGCTTAGGGGAGATCAGACTGGACAGCGCTTTGCAGCTGCTGTGCAGGCCAGCGGGCGCCAGGCTGCAGGCCACAGAGGCTCAGCGGGCTTGGGTCAGGACCGGCGGCAGAAGGGCTCGCGGGGAGCAGGGCCAGGAGCCGCTGGCCAGGCAGGGGGCCCACGTGGATGCCGGTGTGTGGCGGCTGCTTCCCTGGTCAGCGTGGCCCCGCCACATGCCACGTCAGTGCAGCATCCTGCCTCCAACGTTGGCGTCTGACTAGCTCGGCGCTCACTCCCCCCACGGGAAGCCCGGGGGCCTGGTGGCCTCTGCGGCCCGGCCAGGCGGCCTGCGGTGCTGGAACCTCTCCTGGGCTCACCCGGTTTCCCCTCCTGCTTTCAGATATATGCAAAAAACCTGGTGAATGCCGACCGCTGCGCGCTTTTCCAGGTGGACCACAAGAACAAGGAACTGTACTCGGACCTGTTTGACATCGGGGAGGAGAAGGAGGGGAAGCCCATCTTCAAGAAGACCAAAGAGATCAGGTACAGCCAGCAGTGCAGTCGTTGAGCTGTGATCGCAGTGCCCAGGGCTCCGCCCCCGCTCCTCTGTGCCGCCCCAGGTGCGCTGACAGTCCTTGTCATTCTGTGATATCATTCCCGCCAGGACCCGCCTCCCGAAGGTAGCGCTTCTGGGAATGACATTGCAGAGCCAGCGAACCGCGCCTCAGGAGCGTTAGCGGCACTCCTGGAATGCCGTCTTCCGGAGGCGGTCCTTGTGGAAATCATGAGGAAAAACTTGCTAGTGCTCCCAGGTAGGTACAGGTGTGCCCCGCCTGGGGTGTGCCGAGCCCAGCGCCAGGGCAGCACCTGTCAGCCCAGGGCCCCGAGTGCAGCTAGAGGCCGGGGCCCCGCCCCCGTGCAGTCCCCAAGACCCTCCCAGACCACCACCGTCCCCCACGGCTCTGTGTCTTCTGCCCTGCACACTGGTCCTCCAGAGGGACACGGAGCAGGGCCACTGCCCGCCAGCCCGTGGGATGCCGAGGGCAGGGAGAAGGCGTCCTGCAGGTCGCTGCGTCATGTAGCTGGCTCGTTGTCCCCGGCTCAACGGGTGAGACGGGGCCGGGTCCTTCAGGGGCCTTAGTAGGTCCTGGAGAGTGAGCAACTGAGCTTGGTGGCTGGGCTGGGCCCCCCGGGCCCAAGAGAGAGCACGGGGCACCCAGCCCGCCCGCAGTTGATGCTGTGCCGTGGAGGCAGGGGTGTGTGTGTGTGGGAGGCGCATCTGACCCCCACGCGGGCTGCGGGCCGGGCCAGCGTTCTCACGCTTGAGCCACCAGGGAGAATTAGGTGGGGCAGACAGTCTGGTCTCTGGGAAGTGCTGGGCTCACTGGCACATGGAAGGAGAACCACTCACGGCCAGCTCTCTGCTGGCACAGGGTGGAACTTCATTTCGGCAGCAGTGATTTCTCGTGCCATCCAGAATGTGTCATTATGAAACGATCTCGCGTGTGGGTCTTGTGGGTTGCAGATCTCTTTCTTCCTCTAGTAGGTTTGGAACTGAGGGCAGTTATGATGAAAGTGTTCTGAAACTTTATAACCGAGACTTTGTTAAAATTCTGATCTTAGATATTAAAACATGAGTATAATTGGATAATGCGTGTAATGTTGACTTTTTTTAAATTAGAGGAATAAAAGCATTACAAGTCGTAAATTGTGTTATTTTCTATAGTTGTGTTTTGCACATGCTGATAACATTAAATGCCTGTAAAGTAACTTGGGGCTTAACCTGCAAGCTTGGGCTTATGTGTGGTGGAATGTTCTTGTTCATACCTGCTTTCCCGCTTTCATTGTGTCACGAAGAGTTGAGAAATGTCGGCAAGTTCCTGAACCCACTGGGTCTCAGATTGCCACAGTTGGAGCATCTTGTAAATTATGAAGCATTCTGAAAATATTAAAGATTACGACTGTTCATTGCAGTAGAGTGCTAGTCAATCTCTTCATTTCAGGCGGCATCCAGTGTAACTTCATGAATTGTGAATTATTTCTTGAAACAAGGTTCTCAAGTGATTACTATGCACTGTTTTCTGATTTACCTTTAAATATTATGTAGTGAAAAGATGATCTGGAGTGCATACATGTAAAATTGATACAAGTGTTTAAATAGCACAGTGCTTTTTAAAAAATCAGAATGCGGAAGTGGTGGAACCTTCTGGAATCTTTGGAGAGACCTGTGTTTTAATTAGCGCTCTCCTCTCTTTGTGTGTGCAGATTTTCCATCGAGAAAGGCATCGCCGGGCAAGTCGCGAGAACGGGGGAGGTCCTGAACATTCCCGATGCCTATGCAGACCCGCGCTTCAACAGGTGAGCAGTGGGGGGGCTGCCCCCGTCCACAGCCCGCCCTGGCTGCTCCCCAGGGCTCGCTCAGAAGTTAGTGGGTTCAGATAGGCGTGCAGTGGCGGGTGTGAGGCCACAGGCGGAGTCCAGCACGAGGAGCTCCTGGTGCTGTGAGCAGCAGGAAGGCCAGGGGCTCTCGCCACGCTGGGCGGCTCACCAGAGTCGCCACACTCAGTGCCCAGAGCTGGGCCAGGGCGCCATGCAGCACTCTGGATGCCAGGCCTCTCACTTACTATCTCTACGTAGACCTGGAGTCCTTTCTGAGCTTCTTTGACACTCGGGTGCCTCATCTTTAAAATGGGCACAATAATGCTGCCTCTTTTGTAGTCTAGGTATTATTTTATGAAAGTGTTTATAAAAAAAAACTGACACTGTCACCGTCACTGTCCTCCCGTTGTTCATCAGTTTGCTCGAGCGGGCCCAGTAACATCTCTGTTGTGAGACTTGTTGTTACTGTGTCTGGCATATCGAAGACATCATGGGTAGCTTGCCAGGCTTTGCCCTGTGGGCGAGATACTCTTGGTAGCTTGCTGGGCTCTCTGAGAGGGGCGGAGAAATCGAACCTGAGTTGGCAGGGTTGGCCGTGTGCAAAGCAAACGCCCCACTGCTGTGCTATTGCTCCCACCCTACTACTCTGTGTTACTCCTACTCCTTGTTATTAAATCTAGCAACTTTAATAACATAGAGTAGGAATTTAGACAGCTTCAACTTCCGTCAAATATGATTAAGATGGCTATTATAATAACTTATTAAGATTTTTTTGTAGTCCAGAGACTACAAAACCCAGCTCCCAGAAGCACGTGGCTGCAAATGCAACCACGTGACATCTTATTATCTCATTCTTACTTTGGACAGCCTGGCAGGCTACCGAATGTAACCTGCCCACATGGCAGAGTCTGGCAAACTCCCCATGGCGTACCCAATATGCCAAATACCAGTAATAATGATGGGTCTTATTCTCCTAACCCTGAAAGAGCCTTGAATTTGGCACTTTAAAATCTCAAGGCTAGGATGAAGGGGACGTTACTGGGGCCTGCTCGAGGCAATCGACGAAAAACAGGATGATCATGATTAAGATTTTTGTCTGTCTTTGAGTTTCTTTGGAGAATTAGAAACCAAGTTATGCATTCTGATTTTAATAACTCTCTAGTCATTGAAAATCCCAAGATCTGTGCGATCACTGTCTTTCCAGCAGTTTTCAAGATCTTTCTTTCTTTTTGGTATTTAATTCATGTCAACTATGTATAACAGAACAGTTATGTTCAAGCTTAGTCAAAGGGTTTTCCAAAAATTGAGTGTGCTGAAAAAGTTTCTAAAGAAAAGCTAATAGCTTTTGTACTGAAACATTGAAAATACTTCTTATATGGAACCTTGATGTAAAAGTTTGTGAGTAGTCTTAAGATGAAAACACAAGCAACGGATTGTGCAGAGAGCTTATATCCATGAAATATTTGTATCTAAAACATATAAGTAACCCTTTCCAACATGATACCAAGACACTTATTTAATAAAAGGGACACGAGATGTTAACAGGCTCTCCAAGAGAAGGCGTAGGAATCAGTCAGACACAGGGAAAAGTGGTTGGCAGGAGGGAAGCACGTTTTGCTGGAAATCAGCAAGAAAAAAGTATTTGCTCTCAACCAGGAGCCAGCAAACTGCCCACTTAAGAATCGGGTGGTAGGGGCTGGAGCGATAGCACAGCAGGGAGGATGTTTGCCTTACACGTGGCCGATCTGGGTTCAATCCCCAGCATTCCATATGGTCCCCTGAGCCCCACCAGGAGTGATTCCTGAGTGCAGAGCCAGGAGTAACCCCTGAGCATCGCCGAGTGCGATGTCCCCCTTCACCGCCCCCCAAACGAAAAGAATCAGGTGGTAAATACCGTGACTCTATAGCCTCAGTGGCAGTCTGAACCCTGAGAGGGTGCTGTTGGTAGGGGTGGTCCCTGAAGGGTGGCCGTGGGCCTCAGAGGGACATGCTGGCTGGCCCGTGGGTGGGGGCTTCTCTGCTCCCCTTGTTGCAGCCAAGCTCAGAGGGTGTGTCCCTTTACGCCCATTCTGGGCTCTCCCTCTGGGTCCTTTGCCTGGTGTCATGAGTGGTTTCAGGGTGATCCATGGGCAGGGTCATTCCTGGGGACAGACCTGGACACAGGCACCCACTGCTCTGGGCATGCTGGAGGCTCAGTGCCCCCACGGCCCAGACTCGGGAGCCCAGACTCGGCTCCAGCCCGCTCTCTGGGGCCGCTGGTTGGCAGGTGGTGGGTGTGGCCGGCGGGGGTCCGAGCGCGCCCTGAGCCTGCCCTGTCCCACAGGGAAGTGGACCTGTACACTGGCTATACCACCCGCAACATCCTCTGCATGCCCATCGTGAGCCGCGGCAGCGTCATCGGCGTGGTGCAGATGGTGAACAAGATCAGCGGCAGTGCCTTCTCCAAGACGGACGAGAACAACTTCAAGATGTTTGCTGTCTTCTGTGCTTTAGCCTTACACTGTGCCAACGTGAGTCCTCTCCGGCCGCGCCCCTGCAGCGTCAGGCTCCCGTCTCCCACGCACACTGACCGCGGGGTGCCGGAGGGGTGCGAGCCTTGCCCGCGGCCAGACCCCCATTGAACCCACGCGGGCCCTGTGTGCTGGTGGTGGTCAGGGGCGCGGGCTCTGCTGTGGCGCCCCCTCCCCGCCACCAGAGAGCCTCCCCCCAGGAGCCAGCAGCAATGAGTCTGGGTGGGAATTCCAGGGAAATGCTCTGGGACGCCTTGGAAGGAAAAGAATCTCTGAGTATTTTCCGCTCACTTCAAGTGTGACTTTGTTAGAAAGAAAGAGAAGCGGAGTTTAGCATGAAGGTGAACGTCCGAGCTTTTCTGAAATGTATTTTATCCTGTCTCAGGCGGCAGATGAGGAGAATCGCGTAGTCCCTTGCTTGTCCTGTGCCATGCATCTTAGATTCTTGAAAGGTGGCAACGACTTGGATTTGACACCAACCAGAGAAGTTTCTTTCTGTGGAAGGTGAAGCTGTAACTTTGACCTCCCGCAGGCCCGCCCCAGAGAAGGCGAAGTGACGTCCGTTGGTTACATCCGGTGTCACTTGTAACTGTTAACAGTTTTTAATTTTTGATAATAATCTTTATAGAGCGATAGCACAGCAGTAGGGCATTTGCCTTGCATGCAGCCAGCCCGGCCAAGTCGGGTTTGATTCCTCCGCCCCTCCCGGAGAACCTGGCAAGCTACCGAGAGTATGTCGCCCACATGGCAAAGCCTGGCAAGCTCCCCGTGACGTATTCGATATGCCAGACACAGTCACAACAAGTCTCATGATGGAGACGTGACTGAGCCCGCGCAAGCAAATCGATGAATAACGGGAGGACCGTGACTATGATCATAATCTTTATTTTTAATAATTTATTTTTCAGCAGAGTAGTTTTTATTGAAACTTGCTTAGAAAGGTGTGAGAGGAGAAAAGGAGGGGAAATATGTGTTCAATAGAGAACATGGGCTTCTCCAGAGCGGAAATAAGCACGTAAAAAAATACAGACATGAGCAGGCAAGACCCGTATTCAAGGGACAACACGGGCTTGAAGAGCGAGCCGACAGTAGTGGTTTTTGTTAGCTGCTCATCAGTAGTCTGTAAACTCTAGAAATCCTTTAGTGATGGTTCTGGAGTTTTGAAGTTAGGGGTATTTTTATTATTATCCCCTTTACCGAGCAAAAGTAGCATACATGGGAGATACCACCTAATAATGTAGAGAAAATGCTGATTGAAAATAGAACCGAGTCTCATGAAACAAGCTGGAAGCAGTGAAGGCCGTGAGGAGGTTCGGCCCGAGAGTGGCCGGTAGAAAGCTCTGTGCAGAGCGCCCGGACTGACCCCTCCCTGCTGCCCCTGGCCTTCATGGTTCTGGAGCTAGTGGAAGAGACGTGTGCAGTTTCGCGTCAGACTTCCCTGTGCTCGCGAGCTCTTTCCTATCTAAAGAGACACTGGCGACCCGCGAGGGTCCCAGCACAGAGCTGCAGAGAAGGACGCTTCCTGCGCACTGGCAGAGTTCAGATTGGCTTCTGTCTCTTCAGAGGTAGGGCCCCCGGCAATACTCCGGCACCCTGACTCTGTGCTTGGGAGCAAGCGGTGAGGGCCAGACTGCGGTCAGCTGCTGGCCCAGCAAGTGCCCTGACATGGCCGGCTTGTCCTGGCCACGAGAAGCGTGGCCCTCTGCTCAGCAGCCGATCTTACTCTTCTTTATTTGTTTCTGTTTGGGGGCCGTACTCGGCTGTGCTCAGGGATCACTCCTGGCAGGCTCAGGGTCCCTGTGGAGTGCAGGGGCTTGACCCACGCTGGTGCACGCACAAGGCTGGGGCCTTCCGCACTGTCCTCTGCCCAGTCCCGTCAGCATCCATTTTCTTGCTCCAGCTGTCGTTCCCATTCTTTGGAAGCCATGGGCTGGGCTCCCATGCATGAGCACAGTCAGGAGTTTGGTTGCAGCAATGGCTCATGCTTCTGCTACCCCGGGTTCAGGTGCCGGTGAATGGGGCAGGCTGAGATCGAGGGGACCCTTAATGACTGTCAGCTGAAATGTGTTTGTGTTCTGTTGCTGTTTATGGAAGGACTTAGTGCCGCTCTCAGGTCTCATTAGCAGGACTTTCCAAATGTCTCACTTCCATAAGCGCCGCTCTCTCTCACTGTGTCCAGAGAGGATTATCAGCCATCAGAGGAGGGGCTGTTGTCCTGTAGGTCCGAATCCACGTGCTTTGAGATGTTCTGTGCTTGCAAGACTGTGCTGAGTCTGTGCGCCCGAGGTGTCAGTTGGCCCGCAGGCTTCCGGGGCAGGCACCCTGATCGGACACCTGACCCCGGATTCACTCGGGATTCACATCAGTCAGAGCAAGGAGAGCAAGGGTCGTGGCCCCGCTTACAGGCCCTGCCGCTCTGACTGGTGAGGGGCGTGGTGCAGGGCAAAGGGTTCAAGTAGCTTCCCCGAGATCCAGCGTGTTCTTGCCGTGGGCCGCGCTGGTACGCCCCGTCCTCTGTGCCCGGTGAGGGAGCCGGGGGAGTAGTCACAGTCTGGCTCTGCCATCAGGGTTTGCTCTCGCCACTCCTAGTGAGTCTAAGGTTTCTCCGACACAGAGCCTGGCAGCTCCCTGAGCTGCCCTGCAGGGCGACTCCTGCCCCGTCCCTGTCTTCACCTGGGGGGCACGCGGGGCTGGTCTTGCCCCCAAAAGACTCCAGTCCAGAGAAATGTCCCGGTGGGAGGCTGGATGGCGCCTGCTCCGATCAGCATTAGGAACAGACCTGCTCCCTCCCCGCTCAGGGCTCACAGAGAGGGACCGAATCCCATCCCGGCCCAGGCACTTGCGTGGGCTTTGCTCGGCAGCTTGTTTGTGAGGGGAGAGTCCTGTGAGGAGGAAACCCTTGTGGCACGCACTGTCCCAAGAGCTCCAGACCGCTGCCTTTCCCTCCGTGCTCCGCTCGTGTCCGCAGAACACGAGCCAGTCATGGCCCGGGTCTCGGGGACGCGAGGGACACAGGCAGAGCTCAGCGCCTTTGGGCTTGGCTCTGAGGGGCTCCGATTAGGCTCAGAGCACCACAGCGCTTGGCCAGGCTGTCACCCGGCCTGCTTCCGGGAGGAAAACATGAAAGTTGCTTCTGCTAAAGAAGGTGGTAATGAAGAGAGAGAGCGCATGTGTGTGCATGTGTATGTACATGTATGTCTGTGTCTGTGCATGTATGCACGCATGTGTCTGTGCGTGTGTGTCTGTGCATGTGTGTGCGTGTGTGCATGTGTGTGTCTGTGCCTGTGTGTGCACGTGTGCATGCGTGTGTGTTTGTACGTGTGTGTGTATGTGTCTGTGTGTCTGTGTATGCATGTGCGTGCATGTATGTGTGTCTGTGTGTGCATGTGTATGTCTATGTGTGTGCGTGTGTGTCTGTGTATGTGTGTATCTGTATCTGTGTGTGCGTGTGTGTCTATGTGTGCATGTGTGCGTGTCTCTGTGCATGTGTGTATCTGTGTGCATGTGTGTGTATGTGTGCGTGCATGTGTGTGCACATGTGTGTCTGTATGTGCATGCATGTGCATGTGTGCGTGTGTGTATGTGTGTCTGTATGTGTATGTGTGTGCCTGTGTTTGTGTGTGTGTATGTATGTGTGTGTGCATGTGTGTGCATGTGCTTGTATGTATGTTTGTGTGTGTACGTACGTGCGTGCACATGCGCACACACGTGAGCAGGGCTGTTGTCTCTACTCCTGTTGGCACGGGTGACCATGTGTGATGGAGACCGGCCCCTCCCCATCGGCCCTTGTCACGCCCTTCCTTGCTTCCCCCTCCGCCCTGCTCTGTCCGTCTCCCTCCCATAGCGTCCAGCGCCGTGCTCTGCTCGGCTGATTTTCCCCCCATTTCTGAGATTGCTGCTGATGAATAAGGGGGATGCTACTCGAAGAGACAGGTTTTTCTTTTGAGAAACTAGAAGAGCCAGTTAACTTATTCATACATGTTATGATCTTAAGGAAATAACGTGATGCGGTGCAGAACGCCGAGAGGCTAGTGCTGTGTGTCGCCCCTTCCGTCTGTAGAGCAGATGCGCTCTGCATCTTTGGGAGCAGAGGACGTTCAGCCTTCAAGGCGTGTGGGGAAATGACCGCAGTGGAAGGCAGGTGGGGCAGGTGGAACACGTGGCCTGACCTTCACCAGCCCCGAGTGTGGCTGTCTCTTCTGCAGCAGAGGCAGGAGGCGCTAATGAAATTGCCCATGTGCTGAACACGTCATGTGTGCACACACAGCTCAGGCATGCCACGGTCCTGCGGTCCTGCGTGTGGCTCTGTGAGCAAGAAAGGGGAGGCAGGGGTGCCAGTTCCCAGTCAGAGTGACACTCTGCTCCAAGTCCCACAGGTGACAGGGCGCTGGGGAGAGCTGCCCTTGCACTTGGGCAGGGAGGGCTCAGGAGTGGTGATGCTTTTTGCCAGAAAAGGGGAGAATGTTTAGGAAAAGCACAGAAGTGATGATGTCGATGAGAGGCTAAAGATTCGGTCCATAAAATAATTCAGAGTAGATGGAACTCTTAACAGCCAGGCGATGCGATTCCAGGGAGAATGATGTCTTTCAGTTGAGTTTTTTAGATGATGTGCTGACGCTGAGTAGAACTTTGAGTTCTACGCATTCCCAAACTTTCCATAGACATCACATGATCACTTGGTCACTTGGCATCCCATTACACATCCATTGGCTCGAGCGGGTGCCAGTAGCATCTCCATTCGTCTCTGTCACGTGCTAGCATAGCCCAATGGTGTCTGCCCGCTCCAGAAACACAAAGAGCCTCAAACCATTCATTCAGGGTTTTGATGAAGAAGTCTGACCATCTCATAGGTGGGCAGCAATGCAATCTTTTGACGTCCCGTGGAACCCAGTCGGTAATGGCTCTAGTCCAGCGGTTGTCTCGAAATCTCATTACGTGTCCAGCCCATCTGATTTTCGACACCTTGGCAAACAAGACAGCATCCCTGATTCTTGATCGTC